TTGTGGGTGGGTGTGGGTGGCATCGTCTTGCTTGTTAGAATAGGACAAATGAATGTTTGATGAACTGTTTAGATGTAACTGATCTTGTTACACCTTACAGAAACAGCCAGATGACCTCTGCTGTTCTCTTCCAAGCTGTGTTTTCAGTGACAATGAAATACAATGTAACTCCATTTAGCTAAATAAATCCAGCAGACAATTCATTTCACTTGGTATTAAATTCAAGCCAACTCTTATTAATCCACAGGCAGCTTGTACTTCAATCCCAGTTCTCTGGGAAAGGGGGAAGCCACGCGTTTCACACCAGGCAACCAAGCAAAACCGGAACCGAGGGTTATGCCTGCCTCTCTTCAGAGCAGTATTTCCTCATGACAGCGATGACCTCATCACTCAGCCTCTTCAGTCAGGCATTTTCAGAAGAACCTGGCTTATGATTAAATCCCTAACGAGCTTACCAATTAAGAACATAATAGGACTGGAAGCATTTTTGACTGTCAAACTTCATTCTTACCAAGTTCTTTGGTGGGATACTTAAACTTGCAGTAAGAAACAAGAGTACAATACATGTAAATTGCATCATCCAAGTTTGTTTTCATTTCCATCACACGTAGAATAAAACCAACTTTGACAGCATGCACATCTAAAATGTAGATAAATGCTGTGGCATTTGCATTTCTACATAAAAGCAAACTGCCTTCATGAGAAAGTTCAGTTGCAGCATAGGGAAGAATGGAATTTATGGATGTATTACTAACACTGTTTATAAGGCTCTTTAAAAAGACGTCAGGTACTGTAAGTTGTTCTCAAAAACTTCATATAGACTCATCATAATACAATATTAATGGTTTTGAAATTATTTTTTACTGATTGCAGAGAAGAGTATTTGTATATAAAATGGGCTTTCCTCTCAATATTTCCATAAATCTTCTCAGCAGTACGAAGATTGCTTAGTGAAGATCACAATGTTAGGTTTCACATATACATTTAAAGGAAAAAGTTAATTTCAGCAATACTGAGCAGCGTGGTAAAGAGTAGTTTGACAGGAGTATGGTTTCCAGCATCAATGTAATGCAACAATGCTGCCGCTCTGATTTCCCATCTCAGTTACCCTGAAATCTAAATTTTAATTGGTCTTTCTGTGTCACGTCCTTTTTCAGACATTACTCCATCCCTTAAGGATAAGAACAAAATAAGGAAGGTGATGCTACGAATGAAGAATTTTTCTTCTGCTTAGAAAAACTGTTCCAAGATAAGCAGATACTAATGATTTTCTACTTTGATTAGAGCTCTAAAAGTTTTGTTTTCCTTTTTATTAAAGCTTAAAACACATCATACAGAGATACTTAATGTAAGTGCTTGCTGGAACAAATCATATCAGTAAGCCATCTAATGCATACGTCTATCTTTATTAAATTCAAAATATATACACAAGTTGCCTGAGTGTAACCGGCTCACGCAGAAGGCAATTGTACTGTTCTGTATACAACCAGGTTATCACAGCCCAACTGACATTTCCAGTTTACACTGCAAAATTACTAGAAGGAGAAATTACACTAAGATAAGCCTCTAACTTCAGGTAGAAGTCACGAACAATAAAAGTGTTTCTGCTACCCAAGAGTACAAGCCCAGCTCATTCCTGACCGCTACACAGGCAGCTTGTCGATCACAGAGCCTGGCAAGAGGAAGGACTCACATTCCTATTACTACACTCTATGGCATTATTTATTTCACCTCAAATACCACTAACTGTAACTATTTGCTACTTTGTTCCACAAATTGCAACTACTGCAAGACTTACTGAGAATGACTCCTTCAAAGCATTTTCTGCCTGCCAGAAGGAAGGGTAGATTTTGGATGAAGATGGCCAGTAGGCCTGATTTTTCTGTAGATCACTAACTAGAATATGACAGTCTGAACACTGTATAATCTCATCCACAGAAGGAACAGGTTTCCTAGAACACGAATATCAGGTGGTTTGGGGTAAAACAGCCCCAATCCCCTTGCAACAGAACAGTCTGATAAGCCGGTGAAACACTAACAAGATGTTCACCATCTTGTAGAACAGCTGAAGTAGAGTCAAAATGGAAATTTTAAGTGGTTTTCCTACATACCATTTTATGCTGCTGAACTGTTTCATAGGGTTTGGGGGATGTGTGTGTGTTTGTTTCTAATAACCCAAAGCAATTAGTGTCACGTCATACCACGTCATCCAACGATGCCTGAACGTAAGAGTATATCAATCAAACTCAATATACAGAACTGTAATTTTTACTGGAGGACACAAAATCTACACTCAGATGATATTAAAAAAAATCCACAAAATTATGACCCCTTAATATTATCTGTAGGCCTTACATGGTAACTTAATACAAAAACAGGGGAAGCAACAGTAGCACACAGAACATGGGTTACTCAGATTATAAGAACATGTTAAGGATTTGCTCTGCCCCTCAACGGCTTCGTTAAACTTCTCGTTTTACAGGAAAATGGCAGCGGGTAGAGCAAAATTATTACTTCCACATTTCCACTGAATTTTAGTTTATATTAAGCATGTAACTAATGTAGCTATTCAGATGTAAACCAACAATGCAGGTAGAGCATACTGGAGTAAAACACAGTTCCCAATACCTTTAAACTGTGACTGCAGAAACCACTAGATTTAGCGCAATAAGCTGGTTTTCATGTAAAAAGTCAAGATAAGAGAGCCAAAAATCACAATGTCCTATCACAGGACCTTACAAGGAAGGGTGAACAGCATCTCTCTTTTTTCCTTGTCCAGCAAGAAAAGGGAAAGGGGTGGAGGCTGGAAAGGAAGAGGTGGTCTGGGAAACATGTAGACCTGGAAGAAGCCGGGGGAGGGGGGCGGATGGAAAGACCTCCATCACAATGAGAAGCCACAAGGGCTGCTTTAAGTTCATTTACGCTCGAACAACAACGTTTGCTGATGAGTTTGCACTTTCAGAGCCCTGCTGTGCTGCTGATCATTGGTTCTGCTTGAATATTGAGATTTAGGGCAATACATCAGACCGATCGCATCGGATAACAACTTTATTCACGTTCCAAACCTGACTGCGACCCAGGGAGAACTCATGGGAAACCAAAGTGGATTACTACGCACTGCTTGGATGTCCACCTCCCGACAGGAAATCCGTTCAGGTTTGATTATATAAAGAAAGGGGATTACGGCTCAAGACAACAGCCAAGGAACAAAGGCCAATTACAGTGCCCTTAGCGTGAAGAAAGGGGAAGACCGGTTCAGAAACAATGGGCTATCAAACAAGCTTAGAAACGATACTAAAGCGAAAAAAAAAAACAAACCAAAAAGCCGAAGCAGGCAGACACTTTCAAGTGCCACAGCAGAGCTCGAATTTTACCGAGCAGGCAGCGGGATGCTTTTTTAGCAGCCAGTAAAAACACCAGCTTATGCCAGGCTAGGGGCACCTTTGTCCTTTTCAGAGGTAAATTCCGAGCGCATCTCCCCGCAGCTGATGCCTCACCTCGACCCCCCCGGCCCAGGCGCCTTCTCCCCTCTTGGCCCGTCCTGA